AAAACGGCGGTACTAAGCTTTTAAGGAGTATAATTAAAAAGAAGGCGCGTATAATAACGAATAGCGTAAATTTCCTTTATAACCTCTAATTTTAAATTATCTTTATTACGGTTTATTTTATTAACGGATCGCCTAAGTATCTTTATAATTGGAAGTTACTATACGAAAGATTCTATACTTTCGTTACTTATTATAAAGGGGTATAAACTGAACTTTATAAATTTAATTTTAATTACTTATATATTTATAGTTCTAAAGTATACGCGATAACGGGTATGATATAAAAGAAAGAGTAATAGTTTAAAAAGTTTTAATTAAAAGTTTAGATTAGATTCCTAGTTGGCTACGCTGCCTCTTTTATTTATTAACTTTGGAACCTTTAAACTAATTATATTACTTATACTCGTAATATACTTTTTAATAAAGATTCAGTCTATTTAGGGAATTTTAACAATCTTAAAAAAGGATTAAGGTTAATTAATAACGAAATTACTGACCTATTTAACTGAATTAATTAATTTTCTTAATTATTTACGTAATATTTTAAACCTTTTAATACGATTTAAAATATAAAAAATCATGGTTTTACCCCTCTCCTACCGTTATTCTTCAATAACGAATTTCAAAAGAATAATAATAAAATTAGTTTAAAGTTATTAAAGCCTATAATTTAAAATAAAACATTTATGAATTTTATATTTAAGTACCCTACCCTATTAAATATATTATTAATTTCTTTTATTATTACGTTTATGATTAATTTATTAGAGCCTATTTCTTTCCCGACTTTTAAATTATAAAAAGCCGCGTTTAACGTTAGGAAATTCATTTATTTAATAAGATAATACTAGGGTAAAATAATTATAAAAGTAGAAATTATCCGCCTGATTTCTAAGGGTAATAAGTTAAACTCTATTAAACGTTAAGACTTTCCCCTAATCCTAAAAATTTACTATAATTTCAAATATTATAATTTAAGTAATTTCTTTTAATAAGTAGAGGAAATATATTTTGATAATTATAAAGAAATAAAGTTATAAGTTAAAATAAATAAGGACGTCCCCTATATTAAAGGTTTTTAAATCTTCGATTGTATATAGGTATATATATATAAGTTTAATAAGTATAATCGATTATTAGAAATAGAAATTCGCTTTATAATTAAAGGAAATTAATAGTATAATTATAGTAAGGAAACGCATACCTCTATATTAATTAATCGTTTATTTTAATCAATTATTACGTACGCCGCTAAATTTAATTTTGAATTTATTTAATGTAATATAATAAATACCTTCGTTAATACTTATTTTAATAAGGAGATTTATATATGTATACCTCTTAATTATTAAAAGTATAATATTATCCTTAAATTCCTTAAGGCTTTCTATAGTTTCCAATGTATTCCCTTATTATTGTAGCGAGAATTTAATAGTACTTTTAAAAGTTTAAAATTTAAACCGTTATTCGAAGACCCGTATATCTTTAAACGTAATAGAATTTTAATTCTTTATTACATTAATAATATTATTTTCGCTTTTAATAAATTATAGTATAATAAAATTACCCGGGTTACGAAGAAGTTAAAAGAGAAATATAAATTTATTAACGGTAAGGACTTTTAATAGTTCTTAAGTATCGAAATTATTTAAAATCGAAAAGTAAATTATATTTAATTATTTTAACGGGAATATATTTATAAAATTATTAAGTTGATTAAGAATCCCTACACTTTTACTTTCATTTTAATAAGTAATGAAGAATTTATACCCTATAATAGTGTAGTCTCTTTCGATAAAATTTAGGAATATTAAATCGTTGTCGGTTTTATAATATACGCTGCCGTAATTACTTAATTTAATATCGCCTTCGCCGCTAACTGATTAATTCGCTATAATTATAATCCTAATCCTTAGTATCGTAAAGCTATTAATAAAGTTTTATACTACTTTTAATTCTACTTTAATCTTTCTTTTTATTACAGTACGTTAGCGAAATTTGAAATTATTTTAAATACGTCGTACGCCAATAATTCTCTAAATCGAAAGAGTTTATAAGGATTTACAATTAGTTTCTTTAGTAATTTAGTTTATTAGGGTACTATTAAATAAAAAACAGTATCGATATTAATAATAGAATAGAGCTCCTCTCTATTTTAAGCGTAGTAAAGGAGGCTATTGCTATTATACGTTTGTATAAGGAGATTAATATTCCCTTTAATAAAGATATTTCTGTTATTAATTATAATAATACCTAAACGATACTAATATTTACTATCGAGGTTATAAAATTAATAATCAAGTTTAAGTATATCGATATTTATTGTTATTAAATAAAGTAGGAAATTATAGAGGGAATGATTTAAATTGAATATTTGGAAATAAAGAGGATACTAATTAACGGTTTGATGAAAGTTTTAGGATAATTAGAATATAAGAAGTTCCGGAAATTAATAGGAATGGCGAATGTACTAGTTTGTAAGGAGATGGGGATGAATAAGGAGATTATAGATAATATATTAGAAGATATTTATAGTTTGATTAGAGAAATCGACATATTAGAAGAAATATTTTGTAAATAGCTTTACTTTTGCCTTGTTTTAAGAAGGTCTGTAAGTAAGGGGGTATATTAGAGTAGAGGGTAGATTTTTGGGATTTTGGCTAAATTCTATATAGGTTAGCTGCCTAGCCCCCTAATATTACTTAATTTCTAGGTATATCTAGGTTACCCCAGCACCCCCCATACCCTCTATTGTAGACAGCTCGAATCAGTCACACACTCTTCAATCAATCAATTCTACACGGTCATATCTAACAGATAGTGATGAGAGGGTGAGATTCGTGGTGGGGGTTGTTGATGCACCTTGGGGCACCCGAGGGACCAAATGGCGGGGTTGCAACCCAACCCAGCCTACGCTAAGGCGGTGTATCGCTGAAGCAGGTTTGACTTTCGCGGGACCTCGATAGCTGCTCTTGCACTACCAACTCCAGGTGGACTGCCATCATCGTGCAACATCAGGATGTCACCTCAGTGTCGTTTTTCTCCATGGGGAACGGATACCTGCTGAAGGCATCTACGATTCCTTGAGGGGTTGCACTGGTCGCCACTGCTACCATCAAAGACGCTCCATTCGTTAACCCCGACTTCGTAGAGGGATAAGAATATGGGTAGAGCGATGTATTGGTTATAAGGATACTACTGATTACGCTCCGATTACATGCAATGACACTGACCACTGAACCCGCAGACCCGCTGCTTTGTGCCCCACCTCCCCGTACCTCGATATCACCTGATCTATCGTGGAATAAGCATCGCCAACCTCTGATCTCATTGCCATCTTCAAATCGAGTAAGGAAAGCCAAAATGATGGCAGGAAGTATCATGACCAAGTCTGTTCCTTCCAAAAGACAGTGCCTGGTTCAAATAAAGTTGCCAAATGGTGGAGTTTGTGGGCGGGCGCTAGGAAAGTGCTAGCGCAGATCATTGTATGCGCATCGTCTGATTGGCTACCAAGGACGAACGAATTCCTAATCAGGAAGGAACCAAGCATTGGAAGAAGTGGGGTCAAGATGGCATCTTTCATCTCGCATTTGGTGCCTGGGTGCTTGAACTTTGCAGTGGAAATTACAGTGAACAACAGAGAAGACAGGAACGACGGAGATCAGGACTCCGGCGCAGTTCTGGATGGCGATAGCTGAGGCAGGAGCCTCCTATTACTTTCCAAGTTTGAGGCCTGCAGTTCGAGTTCATTCCACTTGCCACGCTCGCAATTACTGCGCCTGGAAGAGGAACTCGGCATTCTTGATGCAATGGATAGTGGCTGTGGTTTTGCTCCGGGCAGACACCATGTATGTACAATGTAGGAACAGGACGGAAGCTGGGTTGGGATGATCTGGATCTATAATGAGAGAGCGGAGATAATCCGAGCGTGGTTTTGCATTGCATAGAGGTACGACGCGTTTTGGTAGATGCAGACATATGTCCCAAATGTCGGCCGCCTTTCACCGCGAGAAATTTTGATCTTCTCTCACATTCCTTCAACTTCTTTCTGCTTCCTTTCTCTTCCATGGAAGCCTCGGCTCCAACAGCATGTGGTATACATCTGAGGGGCACATACTTACCTCGCGCAGATGCCACGTCTCCCACGGAGTCTGCTCGCATCTACGCCGCCCGCCCAAGATCCAAGGGCGCGTCTTTGCCGCCCCCTCCATAATTGTGTGAAAGGGATCATATGCTAAACCGACCATGGCCCGTCGCTTTTACGCCGGCAACGGAAGCCAGTGAGCTAGGATGGACTGGCAAGACAAACAGGTCCGACGCTATGGCCAGTTCCGCAGCCGGAGATAGTAGCTAACAGAATCATGGTGTGATGATGGCCAAACTTGACAGATTTCTGTCTGGCTGATGATTTTTATTATGTCCGGGACTTGACTGGGGTTTTCCTTCTTTCCCCTTTTTTCCCCTTCCTTTTTTCTATTTTTTCCTTTTCTTTTCTTCTTTTTTTTTTTTTTTTTTTTTTTTTTTTTTTTTGCTGCTTGAAGGTCACAAGGCAGAAATGGGATAAATCCATGGCATGTTTCTCGTGAAAACAATCTTGCAACGCAAGAAACAGCCACCAGGCAGTCCAAGTCGGTGGAAACAGAAAGAAATTGAAAATAGACAGACCGTGGTTCCCGTCTACCTTTGGTGGTGTACTAGTTTGTCTTCTTCTCCTGGCGCCTGTTGAAAATCCCGGTTCGCAAACGTGTAGCCCGACCAACGTCGGGCGTAATGATCAGGTGTATGCTGTAAATATAAGATAGAGAACAACACCACAGTTGATGTGCAATGGTGAGCCCAGAAGCCAACTGGTCAGCCGTCATGAGAGAATTTCCAAACCAAACGCAGCCTCTTCGTGGCCATTTTGGCCAACCGTGATTTCCTAGGGAGACCAAATCACTATTACATACATGTGGATTCTACAAAGGCCGCAAGATCACTCAAATGCATGGATCGAGAGAGCTAAAGGTGTGTTTAAGCCGAAGCTTTCGTTGTTGTATTGCTTGTTACCCGGGAATACTGAGATGTAATGATCCGCTTCGAGTTCTGTTTTCCTCGAGATAATACATGGGCTCTCCGACCCAGGACCATCATTCTACTTGGTGTTATGGGTAAGTTTAATAGGCGGGGTAAGTACCGAACCTTACACAACCAGGTCGTTCCGAGAATAGGAATGTAATATAATATTACGAATATCCAAGGATCCCTTCTCAAGCCGACGAAATATTTTATCCCGGAGGACAGAATTGATAAACGAACTTCCATTTAATCATAAATATTAGACGTAACGCCGTTTCTAATATACAAAACACGTTCTTGGATGAAAATAGAGAGAGCAAGACGTATGTTCCAAGACGTCAAAACCCGGCCCCATTTCTTGAATGACTTAACAACCCCGAAATTTTGGCTGTAGTAGTCCGTGCCAGGTACCTGACAGGGGGGTTTTTCTTTTGCTCGGAACCACAGTATCAAGCCAACAACCATAGCAAATGCAAATGCAAAAAGCAGAAGACTGATAACAACTAGTCCCCCAAAACGCTGATGTCCGTTTATGCCAACCCGCAATCAAAAATGCAACTCTGTCCCAAAATGCTGTTCCAAGTATACCACCCCCATTCCCAAACCGAAGATGCAAATCCGATTCCATATCCATGCAGAGCCCCAACACGAGGAGGCAAGAAAAAGCCCCAGCACGAGGAGGCAGGAAAAAGCCCCAACACGAGGAGGCAGGAAAATACAAAAAAAAAAACATGCAAGTACAAAACTGATTCGAACCTATATGATATATACCCTCACAAGTGGTTAGTACTCGTCGTCGTCGTCGTCGTCGTCGTGTACATGAGTATTCAACCTTTCCTTCTCCTCTCCTCCCAAAACGAAGAGAAGGTTGACAACTTCTCACCCGAAACACACATTTTATACGACCATTGTTGATGATGCTCATAGTGATATAATGTGATGTTCTTGTGTGTTCGTGTGTCCCGTTTGTGCAACAAGAAGTTGTACGTGCGTTTTTCATGGTTGTCCACACACCTCTGATCACTCAAGGAAAGTTGCTGGCTTTCTCGAGTGATGCCCTCTTGAGGCTGGTGTTAGATTAGGTGGTTCCCTCCGAAAATGCGATGAATGGATGGCCTGGCAGAAAAGTCCAGTAACAGATCTAAGTGCTTGTGGGGGTGTGCGTCTTTAAGAGAGACTTGACTTCCACACACACAGACACCTTCCTGTGTTTGGCGACTGGACTTTCACATCGCATTTTCTGTTTCGTTTCCCTTTGGAGGAAGGAACCACCTAGTGGGCCATTAGTAGACGCTGATGGTGATGATGTGGCCGTAGACGGAGGCTAGAGCTCAATGCTGAAACTCTAGCACATCCGGAAGTGCTAGTTGTGGTGCCTGTTCAATGGCACCACTTAACTCGGTAATTTTGGCCTTGAGGTCTTCCACCCAAGGGCCGAAGCCGCCACATCGCCGCGTGAAAGCTCCAAGAAATGTCAACACCCTCAGGGTGTTGTGCTTCTCCCCGAGAGCTAACAACGAGGCGACGAGCAACACACCTTCCTCCAACGCCTTCACACCAATCGTTATTACTGAATATATTTCAATAATATACGGGCTGCTACCCCTATAGCGCCCGTAGCAATCGTCACAGGAGACGAACTGCGCTAGAGAATTAACTACCTCATAATTGGCATGAAGGATATCGGGGACTAAAGGAATTGGGTTATTCTCGGGCAATTGTTGACTAATCGCCTCTTTGGCCCGGGCCAACCTCAAAAGGCAGTTGCAGTTTGGGGCGGGTACCGGGGCAAAAGTAGCGAATGCCGGAGTAATGGGGGTGGGTGCCGGAATAACGGATGCGGGGGCCGGAATAATAGGTGCGGGTACCGGAGGGAAAGGGGCGAATACCGGAACAACGGGAGTAGGTGCCGGAGTAACGGGGATGGGTGCCGGAGCGAAAGGGGCGAATGCCGGAGTAAAAGGGACGGGTGCCGGAGCAACAGGAACGGAAGGAAAATGTGGAGGTACGCGACCCGGAAACAATACGGGAGCCGGATCACTAGAGCCGGACCGGACTGATTCCGGCGGCGTCGGTTGTTGAAAGATGATTGGCGAGGGTGCTGCCATGCCGCCCGCCAGTAGCGCCTCACCGGCATCGGGGCCAAAGTCCACCGGATATTGAGAGCCGCGACGGCCGGCTGGCGCACCCTCACCTTGGTTGCCCTCACCACCGCGTCTGTTGCAGTGGTGAAGGCTGCCCTTCTTGAGACAACGCTTACACATTCCCCCTCCGCCCACTGCTGGTCGGCAGGCAGTCTTTGCCAGCCTGCATGCGTAGCAGGCCGTTGGCCGGCGGTCCTGCCGACGGCACCCGCATCCATCTCCGACACAAACCTTATGCAGCTCGCAGTTATCCGAGCAAACGTGTCGACCCATGTTGCCTATGATAAGTTTCGTGTTAGTTTCGTTGGACGATACAAGTATACGGTCAAGAGATATATTCTTGAAATGGTGATAACGAACCTGGACCTATGTTTCAAAAAATAGACGTCAGATTCTCTGGGAGATAGGCCTTTTGTTCGAGGCTGGCCGGATGTTTGTGAATATTTTCCTCGCTTTGGAGGTGGGTAGGGGGTAGAGGTAAGAAGGGTCACTGACTAAGGTCAGGATTTGGTGTCGTTTGTGAGTTAGGTATATAAAAGGTAAGACGGATCACGAGCTCAGGTAAGAATTCGGTGTCGCCTCTGAAATGAATATAAGGTAAAGATGGTTAACGAAGAGGATGGTGAAACTATTGAGATCTGGCGGTGGTGCTGTTTAAGTATCCTGAAGAGCTCGAGGGAAAAAAAATCCTGACGCCCGGACAAGAGGGCGGGCATCAGAAAAGATATCTATGCATTGCAGAAACCGCCGAAACTGAACATCCGGAACTGCATTCGTAGAGTCATTCGAGGCCAGTGTTGAAGAATCAAGCAGGTGGTGATGGTTGAAGTGCAGTTTGCGTGCAGTCTTTTTGTCTTTGCATACATGTTCCAACTTGGTTGAGGAGGATCTCTTGTCGATAAACTGCTAGGGATGCGTTGAAGGGGGAACAATCCTGATGAAGTTTGGGGCAGCAAAAAAAAAGAATTCATCGGCTCGTAGGAAGACGTCCTCGGTATGGATACCATGATCGGTGATTGAGCCAGCAAAAAGAAAAATAAGTGAATAAGACAAGAAATCCAACGGAAATATCGGATGAAAGCGGTTCGTTGTACCGGCAGGAGGGACGGTGGGATGTGTTATCGGGCGGAAAAACTCTTCTGCGTTTTGAAGCACATACACAGGAACAGCAGTTGAAGTTTGAGGCTTGGTTGAACACGTACATCTGGGAAGGACGGGTTGCGTTCTCGGCTGCCCCCTCCGGTGCGCTTATTCCAGGTTTTCATATCAGTTCTTTGTCCGTATGTAGGTATACTACACGACATCTGAAACTACGCACGCAAGCGAGCCCAGTACCTTCAGTTATGTTGCCAAGAGGTTGAGGAGTGAGGTCAACATCAGTGCGGGTTTGATGGGAAAGAGCGATGGAGGAATCATTGTGTGCCGAGCCTCCATGTTCAGCCTTCCACGCTGATTCTTTCGTCTAGTGGGACTCGGGCTAGAAGGCGCTAAATGGCGGGTAGCAGGTGGCCGCTTCAGCAGCATTTCCTTATAGGGGTTGTAATCTTGGTACCTTCCGCTGATTGGTAGGCTAGAAGAGGTACCTAGGTACCTACCTTTTTAAAGATAACCTCACGTCACGTCACTACCCATATCCCGTCTAACAACCGCCGGGGTGGTGACGGTAGACCCGGACCCGCCTATCTGTCCGTGAGTGTCCGGGATCGGGTCAGTGGGATGCTGACACGGCCGTGACGCTCCGGATTTGTTGGATCCGGGCTCTTACCTCTCCCCGGCAACGGGAAGTACCAGCTAATTGAGTACTTGACGGAGCCCTCAAGAGACACCAACACCTCCGGTCTCCAACAGAGCCAGCACTGGACCGACAACAAAGGCCTTCTTCTCCATGGCACACCGCAATCTCTGGACAGATATACCACACAAAATGTCACAGACACCGAAACCCGTCATTTACATGTACCGCCAACGTAAATTTCCGTTGGGCTTCCAAATTTTACCTTCAATAATTCAGGACAGTGAAAACTACCACAACCATTTAGCATGTGCTCGGTGTGCCACTTGCTGTCAGCTTCGTCTTCACTACCAACCTCTCATCTGGCTCTCTTCCTGTGTCTACCTCTACCTCTACGCTCCTTTCCTCACATGGATACGACTACCGTAAGTAAATCCAACTTTCTTTGCCCAAGACCAATATTGCTCTTTGCCACCTCCTTCCTCCTCTTTGAGGAGAAGGTACGGTAGGTAAGGGATATGGCGTTGCTACCGCGCGTGTACCATTCTTTGAGGCTCTGCTGCTTCCTTTGGCCGACTTTAAGTCCGTCACGGCGCCGCAGCCAAGCACAGATTTTCAGTTGGTCAGAATACAAATGCTTCATTCACTGCATTCTGCAAGCAACAAGAAAGACCCTTCGCGCGGACAAACTCCAAATTCCGGGAGCATTCACATGCAGGACCTATGCTTCCCATCCTCGTCATCATAATTTTTTTCATGATCTGATGAGACTCTAGTACTCATAACCTGCAGGAGGATCCTGATGTCATTTAGGACAAGTCAGAAAAATTCGTGAGTATCAGATGCCGAAGCAATACCGGCTCGCGTGGCTTCGAATACCGCCCGGTCGGAAACCCGAGGTGTGTCCGCGCCAAAAGGAGGTACAGGTAGCCGCAGCACACGGACCTTAGTGCCTGCAGAAGACTTCAATCACTCGCATCGATAGATGCACTTCTAGCGGGGCTTATGCCCTCACAAGAATGGTTAACAACGGGCGTCGACTTGCTTGCCAGGAATTATCTGCGCCTGGATTTGTTAGCATCATCAACCGGCGGGGCTGCGCGATCATCGAATATTTTTTAGGCCACGTGAACCGAGCCCGCTGCATGGAAACCACCGGTGTCCGTCTGCAAGAATTCAAAGTCAAGGAGTTTGGGCAACGTGTCCCCGAGCCCAGTCCCCAATTGAGCTGGTTCTCAAACAGGAAAGCTTCTCACGCAGTCCACCCGCCCTCTTCTCTCCCCGTCACCTCCCGCCCACTATGGCCACGTTTTTTTAAGGGAAGACAGGTGCAAAAACCGATTGAAACAGACACGAGAGCCGCTTCCTTGCAAATAATAGGGGCATGGCTTCTTGACCGTAGCTCTGCAGCCAAGAAAAATCCCGAAAAGGGTTCGGAAGGGGCAATAAGTGAGGAAGCCTGGTCCTGGGCAGTTTTCAGCGCGCCTGATTTGGGGACCAAGCCACAGCTATACCTTGGATGGAATCCAGATGCATGGGAAGGTTTCTATGAGTGTCGCCATGAAGGAAAGTGCTCGTGGAGATGGCCAGGAGGGACTGCTGGATGATACCGCTAACAATAAAAGATCATCAGCCCAAGAACCAGCCCGATCAAAACAATATCGTCGGTTGACAAGAAAAAGCCGTCAACTATTCGGTTTCATCAAGGTAATCAAGCCACAGAGCACGAACCTCAGCCACGTGGAAAGATCCTCTCGAGTTAACGACGGCTGAGTATGGAAGTGTTCGGGAGTCAGTGAAACAGTAGAAGTAATTTCTACGGGGTGAAGTAGGTGTGGAACGTCGGAACATTCCCTCGTCGTGGAACGGTAACGAGCACGTTCGAAATGTGTCTGTTCTGCAGATAGTCATCTGTCGTGAACATCTTGGAAGTCAAAGACAAAATGATAGCCCACTCACCTATCACAGCCATCAACGCCCAATGGTCTGACCCTTATCTTTCATCGAACATGCTGAAAAAACATGGCCTTCCCAACTGACCACTTTATTTCTGCAGGTATTTTGTTGATCAAGAGGAAAAGCTACATACCGAGGTCATATCCATATTGAGCCAAAGTCACGAGAATCCATTGGGTGTCTGCGTGATTGAGTATGGTTGGCACCTCGTGCATCCGATCGGGAGCCTACTTTGGCGTGGACTCGAGGATCAAGCCTGTCCACACAATCGTCCACATGTCATCCTCACACCACACTGTGGCTGTTCTTGTAATTGCATCGTCATTTCGATTACGGCTTCGATCCTGGTGGTTTGTTAGTGTATCCACATCAGATTGACTGCACACATTCTCGCGGCACTTACCATACCATCGGCTTCCTGACATCCATCATTCCCTTCTAGAAGAAGGACCGTCTCACAGACACACAATCAGCACAGCCAAGCTTCATTTGTCCTACGTTAAGATTCCGCGGAAAAACTAAACGGGATTTCGTTACGGGTGTGACAGCCAGAGAGACATGGAGACACTCGTGCAGGCACGTAGACTAAAGCGCTAGGTGAGAAGTAGGAGAGGGAGAAGAACGGAGGAAATCGGATTGGAGACAAAGAAGAAGGTACGGTTATCAGGTTATGATCACTGTTGCTGATTTTGTGTTGTAGATTGCTTGGGCTAACCCGCCATGCGCAATGTTTTATTGGAGGAACATCCGCATGTCAGGATCACCCGGGTGTCAAGAACAAGCGAAGCCAACTTGAACATGAGCTTGAAACAAAAGTGGAAGTGGAAAGAGGATTCAGTTGTCTAGGTCATCCAACCAGTGCGGCCCGTCCCTTGGTTCCTTCCGTGTGGTAGAAGGTATTATTCAGAAAGTTTCTAACCGGCTCCTTCCCAAGTACACGGGACGATCGGAATGTCTCCGAAGTCGGGAAGACGTCCAGGTCGTCAAGGAACTGCTCTCTCCTCAGACAACATCAAGAACAGGAGGAAGGAGCCGAGAAACCTACCTATCTCAGCGGAAGGGATGAGCGACGGCCACAGCGGCAATTACTGCAGTGCGCAATCGAACATTGGATTCAAACGCAACTGCCTTGAATTTCCATAAATGCTCCGGGAGGAAAAATATCCAGCAAGGGAACTGCTGTGTGAAGTCCAGCCTGAGATGAGATCTCCACGTCGACGTGGGGCAGTCAAGGCTCGATGATACCAGAAGCAGCATCGCCTTTCCTGCTGATACTCGATTATCTCCATGTCATCTTCTTAGTCAACATCTATGTGTATCTAACGAGGTGTAAATTTGGCGCAAGCCGCGAGAAAAATTCAGCAAGATTTGCTCATAATCCACAATCCACCCCATTGCTCCTTCCATGCCTTCATCGGTCAACCCCTCCTTCAACTCTATCAGTCTCTCTTTCCTCACCCCCCTCCGCTCCCCTCATGACGCTTGTCTCCTCTTTCCGAAATAGGGGAAAGCAAAAAGAAAGGAAGGAACGCCCGGGCTACAAGCCGTTCGGATCACGACATCTGATCTACAACAGAGATCCATGCTTTCTTAGAGGCGGCAGGCGCCAGCGAACTTTCTGAGATACGATACGATGTAGTACTGGATGCTATCCGCTTTTTATCGATTTGCGCCACATTGTTCGTGAGGATCGACGACTGGTTGGGATTCTACCCAGACGGTTAACTCTGTCCATACCGATGCGCGTATAGCAAGCCACTCCCGTTCCGAGGATCGAACGCGCAAAGATTGATCTTCACCATGTTTTGCTTCAGCTTCATCTTGTTTGTTTCTTCTTCACCGCTTCGCTCGCTTTCATGTGCGGATCAATGTCGTGCATTATCAGATTCCCATTCCATTTGACCATCTTCAGCTGGAAGGTAGGTGGTGTTCAAGCCTTAGCGCCAGCGACCACTACCCAGCCAGTTATGGAACCGTTCGACTGGTTGCAATATGCTTGACATCGGTCACTCAGTCGTATAGTCAGAGGTCACTGCAAGGTGAGACAAGCGTCGAAGAACAAGGTGAGGCAAGCTAAGTTCTGCCATGTCCTGTTGTCCCCTGTCCCCAGCTGTCTCGCAATCCAGCGCAGCACTGAGTTGAAAGTCACAGGCACAAAGGCAGAAAGTAGCAGGTACCCGTCTGCTCCAACCTGAAGAACAATGGAGGCTAGACCGCCAGACTGCTTTAAGCTTAACCCATGCCACCGCAGTTGAGTAGATTGCGGTTCGCGGGTTATCATCCAGTCGGGAATTTCCGTCGTTGAGTGACCAAGTGTTACTGCTACCGTCACTTCAACAATGGGTGCCCGATGTTGTGCTTTGTGCTTTGTGTTCCTGTTTTTTGCGGTAAGGTAGGCCTGCCCCCCGTCCGTTAACAATGAGTGCATCTAGAAGTTTATGCCTTGCCTACGGTGTATCCCTTCCCGGTCCCTTCGGTTTCACTCACCTTTGCCCACCTTTAACAACCCAAGCCAGGTCAATACTGCCCTCCCTCAGACATTTTTGGTCTCCCATCAACGTCTGGTAGCAGTCAGCCTCATCCGCTCCTCTCATCCACTCTTATCCATCTTCGCCACCCCATCCACCGTCCTCCCCGCCATCTCTCTCTCTCCCTCCTCCTCTTTCCCTTGCCGTCATCAATCCTGCCACAAACCCAGCAGCGCATGCTCCCAGCCCCAAGTCAGTCCTTACCTCGTTCCCTGTCATGTGTGTCTTCAGCCTAACCCTTTTTAAAATCCCTTGGCGAGAAATACCCCGAATGTTTCATTGGTCTCAGATATTGCTCGTGCGTCGAGCCCATTCCCATGTTGAGCCCACTACCCATAGATTAGATTAGGGGAATACGAGAAAAAAGTCTTGGATATCTCGCTGTCACTCGCTGTAGGTCGCTGTCGCCTTGTCGCTGTACTATCGCTGGGCTGTTGTTGGGAAAGACATGCAGGATAGGCAGGGCAGGGGGCAGGGGGCAGGGGGGCGGGTATCCCTTGTGAATTGGATTTTCGTGCAACGATGATATATTGGTCTCTCTTTGATAATCTCGACGTTCTTGCTATCAAGAGTGTAGGTATGTATGTACATGTCGTTCTCGATAACGGGTCCAATTCTGGGTCTCCCTTCCGGTTGCTCGACAAGGTGGTCGTCAAGGCAGCAGTCGACATGGTACTGCTTACCGGATGGCATCGCTTCCGTCCTGTCCACTCGCATTTTCGAATCGCTATGTAGTAGTGAAATCGGAATGCGATGACGATCGATGGGGTAACGTACTTACATGCTGGTAGTTAGTCACGCATCCGGCAGCGACCAAGGGACGAGCGAACGAGGAATGATATGATGGATGACCGCATTGCCGGGGGGCGGGGAGGGATAGATTGATTGCAGTCAGTCGGTCGGTAAACATCGAACAATGCCATTGACCAATTGCAGCGGCCGGATCGGGTACCGGTCGCGGTATGTACCTCTTCGGTTCTTCCCTGTTGTCTGCTGCTGCACTGTTTTCGTCAGTCGCTTCCGGTGATAAAGTAAGACAGAAGATTGATTCAGGACCTGGAAAAGCTCATATCGTTCGTGGTATCGTGATTAATGAAAACGGAAAGATGGGGAGGAGACGGAAGCAGGACAGGCGAGCATGGGAGGCATGGCGGGGATTGGTGCACGGACCACTCAATTCCTCCCTCAGTCCATTCAAGAGTTCTTTGTCGCGAATGGCAAGCTGCTCACCTACCCTGTACTTTAGCTTAACCAAAAAGCAGGCCGCCCTAATCCATACCGTCTCGGCATGGGTTAGAGCGGCCACGCGCTCTTCGATGTTGCTGGCAGTGTGGAGGTTAGGTTCTTCTCCTCGCCAAAAGTGGTGATCGCAAATAAATGATGTTGAATCCTTCTCACATCTGGCTTGATGCTCATTGACGGCCGCCCAACCCTTCGTTTTCTGCACGTTGCCTTTTGGCAATTCGCGAGTTTGTACGGTAGTGCTTGAAAAACAAATGCGTCATTGTGATGCCTATGTAAAAAGCAGATGGTCTAGGTGTCAATCTCGCGGGACCAGGAAGGTAAAAGACAGGTTGAAGGACAAACTGCGTGCGCGTAGGGGCGAAGGAAACCAAACGAGCAGAGCGTTAGGAAAGAAAAGATAGGAGATGACAAAGAGAGAATACCCAAACAGAAAGACATGCGAAAGAACGGAGGAGAAAGCCACCCAGTAACCACCATCGAAGGAGCCGAGCAAACACAGAACAGGAACATCCTCCTTTCCTCCCATGTCGTGATCCACATAACCAAAACTCCCAAACGCCAAAACCACGAATCCTGACTACACGACCCTCTCCATCTTCTTTTCGATCCCTCTGACCCTCTCTCCACCATTTTTTTGCGGGTCTCTTGCTCCGGTTGATGTTGGGCAGACGTCCGATTGCTACTCGCATGACGCCCAGTATCGGTTGTAGACCTTTTGTTTTGATATTTATACTCCTCCCTCTCTCGCCTGGTGCTGAGATATCCCTCTGTCCCCCCTTTCGCGGAGTGAAGAGTCCGAGATCTCTTGATATTGACCGGGTTATAGCGCATGTGGAGGAGAAAGGAGCAGCCTTCTCGTCCTCCTCGCTGTACCTACTGCTCCCCATCCTCCGCGCTGGTTTGCCCACCCTCAAACGCCATTGGTGACGCCTAGTGGTAGGCTTTATCCATGATCTTGCGCTTGCGCTTTATGGCCCTAATACCCGATGATCATGTTAGAGCCTCCCGGATGAATGAACCGAGTTGCTTGGCCTAGAGTAGATTGAAAGTTAACTTCACGCACTCAACGAATGGGGACAAGGGAAACAACTGACCAGGTCATCCTTCATCATAGAGAAGTGGTTGCCAGGCATGTGCCTGAAGGTCATCTTCTTGACATCCAGGTACTCATCCCACCTGTTGGGTCCGAAATCGCTTCTGTTATCCAACAGGAACAGGGCATGGCCCTTGGGATAAGGCTCGGGGCGCGGATCGGTCGGGAGCTTGCAGACGCCGTCCTCGCACCAGATAGCTGTCACCTTCGGGCACTTTTCCTTGGGAATGGGCTCTGCGTCGTAGTTGCTCAGGGCCGTAACGGAGGCAGCGAAGTGTGGCAGGAGCCACTCGGGGATCTTCTTCTGGTCGCCGCCCTCACCAAGAAGGCCGATGGAGGCAAACCAAGCGTGCAGACCCTGAGGGAGAGGTTCGATGGTGACAGGGCATGGAGCATCGATGATGATGAGATTCTCGACCTCGTCGCCGGCCTTGACGAGCTGACTGACGATTTCGTAGGCAATGACACCACCCGCGCTCCAGCCAGCAAGGGAGTATGGGCCCTTGGGCTGACGCCGCTTCATCTCCTCGATAAACTTGGAAGCCATGCCGTAGACGCCGCAGTTGTATTCATCCGGAGTCCTCATGAAGGGAGAGAAAAGACCCCAGACAGCCCACTGACCGCCGACATTGGAAATCTCGGTGTAGGAGGTGGCGCTACCACTGCCGTCGGGGACCATAAAGAGCTGCTTGGTCGCAGTCTTTAGACTTCCAGACAGTAGGGTGGAGGTTGCTTTGCGGTTTGGGTAGTCGTCGACAATTCTAGTGGGACGCGGAGGCTTTGGGGGGCAGGGTTCTTCGAGACCAATTCTCGGGTGCTCCTTCTTGGCACTCGATGTGTTGGAAGATGAATTGGGCGTAGGCGCAGTCTCCTGATTCTTGGACTTTGGCGTAGGCGCAGTCTCCTGATTCTTGGACTTGGCCGGCTTAGGGGCTTGTTTCGGAGCAGCCTTCTTGGGAGCGTCACTGATACCAAGAGCACGCTCGACGTCCTTCAAGGAAGGGTTGGTCACGAAGAGATCGGACGAGATGTCCATGTTCATCTTCTCGCGCAAGGTACCAAGAATAGCCAAACTCATGAGCGAGTCCATGCCAAGGCTTGCTAGATCAGGGGCAGCTTGAATCTCTTCAATGTCAACGCCCATTTCTTGCGAGATGGTGTTCCGGACAAGGCCCTGGAACTCGTTGCTGTTCTTCTCTCCTCCTCCGGACTCAATTCGAGTAGGACCCTCACCCTTGACCGAGTTAGCTTCGCTCTCATCAAGGGGAGTAGTGACATTAGACTCGGATCCAAGCTCTGGGGATTCGTCATCGGACGAGTCATCGGACGCGCTGGACGAGATGGGCTCGTTGGCGCCAGCCTTGTCATACTGGGCAAGGTGACCCTTGAGCGCACCAATGGTCGGGTAGTCGACAAAGGCACCAGAGGGAATATCCAGGTCAAGTTCCTCGCGAATCTTGCCGGACACGGTCAAGGACATGAGAGAGTCAACACCCAGATCGGTGAAGGCAATGTTGTCGGCAAGCTCATCATGGCTGCAGCCCACCTCCCTGGCAAGAATGTCCAGGACCTGTGCGACCACTCCACCCTTGAGCTTCTGGTTGATCTTGCCGATGTTGTCGGGTGTGACAGTCTCCTTCTTCTTCTTCTTGGAAGCCGGTGCGGATTTGGCAGCTGGAGCGGGAGGGGGTGCAGCGCGAGCCGGAGCCGGCGCAGCAGTTCCCATAGCAGCAGCGGCGGCCCCACGGGGAGGAAGCAGCATGTTGAGAACCTTGCGAGGAATGGCAGCGAACCTGATGTCACCGGCAATACCTATCACCCTTTCCCCATCAAAGACGTAGGCATCACCAGAGAACATCTTGCTTCCCTTGACGGGTTGCATGCGGATGTAACTGCGGTATTCCTTCTTGAGATCAGGGATCTCGGTGAACCTCATTGAGCCCCAGCCATGAGAAATGAAGACCTGCTCCCGAGAATCCACAGCATCGGTGCCGTTGATGATGAACCCGGAGATGTGGCACAAGCTGTCGATGTTGTAGGGGTTGAAGTAGAACTTGCCATCATTCTCCGTGGTCTGGAAGCGGATCTTCGCAGTGGCTTCACAGGAGTCGCTGTCCAGGATGACCTCCTCCATGCCCTGGTAACGACGGTTGTAATCAACCAGGGCACCAAAGAGCTTGTACGCAAGACCGCGGCCAATCTTGGAAGCCTCTCCCCGCTGCTCTTGTTGCTTGAGGGAGTCAATGCGGGTCTTGATCAAGTAGGCCATCTTGTCGAACTCCTGTTGCCAGTCCTCGAGGTCGCCATAGTAAACCTTGCATGTGGCGTGTTCGGTCCTCTTCGGTCCATCCCCAGTGGTGAACACAAGGTCAGCGTATCCAGCCTGGGCGTTAGCCGTGACTGTGAGTCTCAAGATGTGGCTCTTGGCCGTGTCATTGAAGATGAGTGTCTTCGGGACTTCCATCTTTGCGACGTTGCACCCAATCTTCTCGGTCTCGGGACGCAGGAGCTTGTAGGCATAGTCGGCCACCGTCATGGCCATATCGCCATACAGCGATGATGGGCAAAGCGGCGCACCATTGACCAAGTGACCTGACACCACCTTCTTGAGATTCTCTTCGTGAAGCTCAGATTCAATCTCAACAATTGCCACATCATCCTTGACCTCCTCTCTGATGACTCGCTGAACTGTGGTGGTAGACAGTTGCGGCTTGCTGGACCCGATCTGCTTCGCTCCACCCTGGTTTGTGATACGGTTCTTGGTGAGACACCAGTCACCCGTGTACTGAAGCCAGTAGTTCTTTTCGTCGAAGGAATAACTGGGCAGATCGAGGAGGCGGACACACTGGAGGAAGTCGCGGTGATACTCGCTGAAGTCGATGTTCAATCCAGCAGAGTGCAGCGTGCTAAGAGTAGCAGTGAGAGTCTTGAAGGGCTGAGGATGGTCAGTACGGCGGAGGGTGGGCGCGGCAATGGTCGTAGCACCAAAGGCAGCTTTGACCATGCCCACGGTGATTGCGTGGGGGCCAATCTCGAGCCACACGGTCTTCTCGTCGATCGTGTTTTTTTCCTGGGCTCTGAAGAGTCCACCTTGGAAGTTGACAGCCTCTCGGGCGTGGTGGCGGAGGTAACTAGCGTCCACCCTGTCGTCTTCACCCAAAACTTCAGCGTGAAGCGGAGAAATAATAGGAATCTTGATGCGCTCGAAAATGACTGCAGAGGCAAGGTTTTCGAAGTCGTCCAGAATGGCGTCGACTTGAGCAGAGTGGAACGCGTACGGAACGAGCAATCTCTTGGCCTTGTGGCCGGCGGCATTGAGCTCCTCCTCCAGTTTCGTGATGACATCGGTTGGCCCACTGAGTACCGTCTCACGGTTGCTATTGATACAGGCAACGTTCACGCTGGTAGCCTTGCTACCCAACGCCTTTTCGACCTCTTCGACTGGAGCTTGAACGGCGAGCATGGCGTGGCTGTTCATCGTGCACTTCTCAACCAGAAGACTCGCACGAGTGCCGACAAGGTAGATAGTGTCGCTGGCACTGAGGACGCCGGCAACGTTGAGCGCGGCATACTCTCCGAGACTGTGGCCCATGACCACGGCTGGCTTAATGCCCCATGACTCCCAAAGCTTTGCAAGTGCCATCTCAAAGCAGCAAAGACCGATCTGTGTGATGATCGGTGACAACTCGGCGACGTCCTTGGTAGTACCGTCAATCAAGGGAAGGAAAGACTCGAAACCGTGAAGGCGAGCAAGACGGTCAAACTCATGGAGGCTCTCCCGGAAAATGGAGTAGTTCTCGTACAGCTCCTTGCCCATGCCGGTGTACTGCGAGCCTTGGCCTGTAAATAAGAAAGCAACCTTTGGCTGCTCAGGGGTTACAGGCACAAAGTTCTCCTTGAGGCGATTCAGGATGGCACTCTGCGCTTCACTCACGCTCGAAGCGGTGACGCTCATGCGCCAGTAGTGCTGGATCTTGCGGGCGGTTGTGGAGTAAGAAATGTCCGCGAGCGACGCATCCGTATGCTTGTTCATCCACTTGGCAAGATTTTCCGCGTTCCGAATCATGGCAGCCTTCGACTTTCCAGTGACGGTGACGAGCTGGTGGCTGCGTGGATCGGGCAAAGTTGGTGCGGTCTTGGGAGCATCCTCAACAAGAATGCCAGTATTACCACCAGCGGCACTGAAGTTGTTGATGAAGACACGTCTGGGCTTGCCATCTCTGCGCCTGAATGGGGTCAGATGGAAGGCGATGTTGACGTTGCGCTCAGACAAGTCCTTGGGGAAGGTCTTGTTGATAATTGACCCTTTCTTGATACCGACATGGGGAGGGATGGCGTTCTTGTGAAGCATCAGGAGCACCTTGCAAAGGGCAGTAATTCCAGAAGCCGCCTCACCGTGGCCGACGTTAGCCTTGATAGCACCAAGATAGAGAGGCCTGTCCTCGGGCCTCTTACGCTGCGCTGGCGCAAAGACATTGGTAACAGACACCATTTCGGTGCCGTCTCCTGCTTGAGTACCCGTCCCGTGCATCTCCACGTAGTCAACATCATGAGGATCCACACCAGCGTCGTCCAAGATAGCTTGTGAAAGCGTGGACTGAGTTGGCCCGTGGGGATGAGTGATTGAGATAGCGTCGGCTGAGTGATTGGTGGCGGTGCCGAGAACAACGGCGAGAACTCTGTCGTTATCGGCCTGAGCATCTTCCAATCGCTTGATGACAACCGAAGCGCAGCTATCACCACGGCAGTAGCCATCGGCCTCATTATCGAAGGTTGCGCAAGGCCCCTTCTTCGACAAGAACTGACCTCTGCTCAGACCGGAAAAAATGTCTGGGTTGGTCATGCAAGACAAGCCGCCCACAATAGCGGTGTCGCAATCGCGAGCCCAGAGAGCAGTACAGGCAACCTGAAGCGCTGCAGCGCTGGAAGAACAGGCAGTATCAATGTTGAGACTAGGGCCACTGAAGCCGAAGTGGTAATTGATACGACCAGGACCAAAGGCGCGGACACCACCTGTGATGAAGTAGGTGTCGACCTCCTGGGCCGCGTTGATCTCACGCCAATCGTCTGATGTCTGTCCGTAGAAGGTACCGATGCGATCCAGTCTGGTAGAGGGCGTTCGGTTGGGGACGTATCCAGACATCTCCAGCGCTTCGTAGGCTGTTGTCAAAGCCATTCTCTGCATAGGGTCGGTTTGGAAGGCCTCACGGGGTGACATGTTGAAGAACCGCGGATCGAACAAGCCCGGTTGCTCGATCCAGCAGCCATAGGGAGTATGGCTGGTGTTGATAGCCTTGCCCGTAGGGTCATAGTGTGTCTTGACATCGAACCTGTCCGGGGGCACAACACGGTGGACGTCGAGTCCCTTTTCAAGGAGTTCCCAGAGCTTTTCATGATTGGCGGCATCGGGAAATCTACCAGCCATGCCAACAATGGCGAGCTGGCACTTGCCACTGGACCCATGGTTGCCAATTCTAGAAGCAAATGCTTCAGGGGAGATGGGCGGATTGTCCCGGAACGTGACATCCAGGTTGGTGTGGGCTTTGATCAGCCCAACGAGAGTTGCGCCGTTCTGAGTAGGACCAAGCGGAAGGATGAGGCAGTTCTTTCCCTTGAAGCTCTTTCCCCTTGCGATACATCCGTCAAGCACCTTGGTAAACCTCAAGGGCTCCAGCAAAACCTCGTGCACAATTTGCTTCAGCAAGGACGCGGTGGTGACTTGCTTCTCGGTGACCCATTCACCGGAAAAACACGACATGACATGGGATCTCGGCTTCGTTCTGTGCAGCGCGTCAATGACCGCCTCGTCATCCAGACGCAAGATCTCGTCGATCAAGGCAGCATCGTGAAGGTGTGGTGCATGATAAGGTCCGTAGACGGGAATCGAGGTTACGTTGGTCTTTTCGCCAAAGTTGTGCCCACTTGCGAAAGCCTTGAGAGAAGAAGGAGGACCGGAAATGGCGACGCTTTGTGATGAGCTTGCACTCAAATATAGGCGGTTGCCGCGGTTCCAACCGGTTTTCTTATTGAAATCCTGAACGACCGGACCGGCAGCGCTTTCGGAAATATTCGTGAAGATATATGTCCAGCTCTCGGATTTTTCGACCGTTGGGTAAATCTGCTCGGCAACCTTATACACGTGCCTTCCAACTCTGAATGACATGAGGGTCACTTGAACGGCAAGTGGTACCAACTCTGACAACGATTTTGTGCAGGCGATTGCGCTGGCTGCGAAGAGCCCGGAGCATAGGCCGACAAGGCATGTATTCTCCGGTCTGGCGAGGTCATCGTGATTACTCTCGATATGACTAGAGACGCGGTCAGGTTAGCCTGAGAAAGGGAAATGACAGACAAGCAGAGCACCGCTTACTCTATGTAATGAACCAATTGTGATATGCACAAAAGGGCACCGTCGATGCCAGGGTGCTTGATCTGCTGTGCGTGGTATCTCTCATTGAGTTGCTGTAAATTGAGGAACTCGGGTAGTTTCGAACGTTCTGTCCTGGGAAGCTGTTCTATCTCGCGTCGGATGGCGTAGCCAACCTGGTCCAAGTAGGCTTTTGCGAGAGTGCCTTTCTTTGGTTTGCGGAAGAGGCTCGCGAGGAAAGCGTGAGTATCGAGGGACTGGTCTCCGAAGAGGTAGTATGCCAACGGTTGATCCTGGAGAGAGAACATGGTGCAGGATTTTCTTCAGGTTCTTCTCGGCCGTATGCTGTACGGTTGTCGTGGATGATGCAGGATGTATGGAAGGATACTCGGAAGAAGAGATGATACCGCGAGATGGTGCTGCAATATGGGCAACGGAAAGTGACTCGCCCTTTGCCTGCCCTTTACTTGTGACAAGAAAGCAAGAAAGGGATGGGGCAAGCTTAATTAAGTAAAAGAATTAAAGAACTAAAGGATGAAATGTAAAGCGAGGGGGACTGGAGCTCTCATTCGGAATGTGAGCCCATGGGCGACGGACATACATCTTCCCCGGACCACCATCGGACGAGTGAACAGGTGCCTCATGCTTGCAGTTACATAGGGTTATCCGTAGCCGGTGGACGGACTGCTGGCCTCAGCTTATTCTGGGTGACCATGTAAGCTTCGGTGGGGGGGTTGATACACAAGCTCGGCAAAGATACTTACGGCATTGTTTTGTGTATCTTGGTGCCATCACTATTACCGCTAGACCGTTTGGGTGTGTTTTGGGGGGGATTTGTAGCATCCCTGTTAACTTGAAGACCTGGAGATGCTCGTGAGACCATCAGGGAACTCCTGCCGCTCCCGGGCAGGATCATGCCTGCTTCGAGCCAGATCCACCCGGAACAAGACGATTCACATGGGAAGCATATCCCTCTGCATCTGCGACCCATGAATACATTGGGTGAGGGGGTTGAGAGCGTAAACGCGGACACGGACTTCCCCAACCGGTTCACGGCGCCTCCAGCCAGCCGTATAGGATTTAGCCACACGGACATCCGGCGCGGAACATGTTGTTGTCCATGTCCATCAGCTGCGATGCCAGAACCGGATGATGGCGCGAAGCTTCGGACGCGGTATCAGTTGTGGGAAGGATCGATGTTGCGAGTTTCTCGTGCCCTTGTGCAAATATAGACAGGGCGCAACATTGAGTATTTTCTTTGGGGCGTTGGGCTACCACACCACCCAAGACGGGGAATGATCGAGTGTCTGGTTCAGGCTGTCCGGTGGGACGAGATGCCATAGGTCAGAAACACCCCTGCCTTGGCTCAATATGGCAATGCCTCAGGGGTCTCAGGCTCTCATTGAATGGCTCCGTCCAGCGCTCCCCTGCTCTCTCCCTCTCCCTCCCTCGGTGAATGGTAGCCATGCGCTATGGTACAACTCCCTCTGGATGAACATAACCCAGGCAGCTGCCAGGGACGTACCAAGCAATGTTGTACCATTCGACATCTCGAAAGGGATCCGAGACACCGTATGTCCGTGTGGAACGTCAACGAATGCACGTTAACATAAAGGAGCGTGGGCCACGAATGGCCAATTGCCCAATCCGGTTTGTAGTTCCCCAAACTGGGAAGCTTTTAAGCCGCTTAGGGAAATAGTTGAGCAATGCGATCTTGACCTGTTCAGTCGTTGCGTACAGGCTGGTGTCGAAGTACCATGTCTGTCCTCCTCATGCCATGGCCGCAAACATGAAGTGACATGTTGATCCCCGTTTTCGGAATCGGCAGCTCGATAGGCAACGTTGTGTTGATGTATGTTGCAAAGAGGAGTGCCAAAAGCGCTCACTGCAGCTTGAGTCTTGTCAGCCACTCAAGATGGATTGGAATGATGTCCTCCGACGAGTCAGACATTTCATCACCAAGATTTCTCGAAATCCGCAGTGCTTCCCATCTCAGATGGGGAGCTGTCGGAGGCGTGATTGGCCCCGATGGCCTGAGACGTACCTATACATACATTGCTTATATGCTGTTATTTACCAGCTTTGATGTTATTTACCTGCTTCGTAGCAGCAGAGCGCGTGTTTTTTTGTTGACAATGCGCTCAAATGGAGTGTCGGATAACTGCATGCAATGCAGCGATAAGAAGACTGCCTGGCCGTCGGTATCCATACGGTCATGGTGGTTGAGTTCTGGACATAAATGGGGAGGCCCCCCCAGTGGATGAGCTTCTTGATGATGTTCCAATGTCAGTAGATGTCCCTTCATGCTCGGATCATCACTCTAGAGATTGTGTTGAGATGCTTACGGATTGTCATCATTTTGGAATACCGTATGATCTCTTCAAACTCGTCCACCGTATTGACCGGCAGGAACCGCAATTCAGGATGAAGGGTTAGGTATGTCCGACAACAATGTACATGCCCCCTGACAGCTGCCAAAACAACTGACAGCCTTATAACCTGCATTCTCTGCACAGCCTGTATCTGGTTTACCCGAGTTAATACAGTATCCGTTCAGTGCTTGGAAGGGTTACTGATGCTTGTATCTACACCTACAGCATACAATGAGTTTGAGGTTAAAATGGTGGATTTCCCGGGTTTCTCTGTGCTCCCTACATTGTACAAAATCAGAGGAGGTGTTTCCTTTGCCGTCTAGAATCCGGAGTGAGCTTATTCGAAGTCTGGAAAGCAGAACGGATATCTCATTTCGAGGAGATTATACGGGACCAATTCCGTGGGTGAGAGCTGACCTTGTCCACGCAACACCCACTCTTTTGTACAAGGCGGGTGAAAACACTGCGCACAGCCAGATTTCGGTTCACAAAACAGTTCGGTGTGGAAGTTCCTTAACATCGCCGGGATGTGAGGGTTCGATCACCAATGCCCCATTATCCTTGATCATCTCGATTGAAGGCTTTGGATCTAGACGGCGGAAACGTTTTGCGCCAACCGATCCCGCCGGTGCTTGTTGGGGTATACGTCTTGTCCTCTGGAATGCTGACACTGTTCTTTGCCGGCATGTGGGAAACTCCGTAGGTAGCTCTCAGCATCAGAGCGTAAACCGTGAGCGTAAGCGGCGATGGAAGAGATTCTGGTGATCTCGGCAGCTCGGGTCCCCAACGGTATACGGCGGTGCTAACGGATTTGATGAGCCTGTTGAGGAGTAGTCAGCCTTGTTTCCTTTCGGCCCGACGTAGAATCACCGGTTAGGTGCCAGAACCCACCTTGCTGCTTCGGTCTGGCATAGCATTGGCCAATGACCAGTCTGGTATCGGCGGGATGACGATGCTTTGGCATGGTTGTAATCGGGAATGGTGATGTCAGCGGAGAACGTAAAATACATGTACGTAGTTTCAATGGAAAACTTTCTTGTAGTTCTTCGTTCCTTCTCCGATCAACAGTTCGCACAGACCAAGTGTATTGGGGCTTACCGCCCGCCAGGGCAAGAGCGAGTCTTGAAGGTCAGTGTCAATAATCTTCGGCCGGCAGCCGGCGTCCATATTACCAATTGAACGTTCCAACCGCCTTGAGGTTGTACTGAAGAAGCCTGAGAATAGCTTTAGACCGTCAAATCTGTCTCAGTAGGTGAGTGGTGAAGGGTTGACAATCTCTCAAGACCACCTAATACCATACACCCCAGAAAGATGTAATGTACCGTATAATGCGGTCATACTTGCGTATGCCCTCTCGGAGTTTCATAACATAGTGTATTTATAACTACTTAACTGGGCCGTGGACACCATTTCCTCGTTTCCGGATTTCACAAGATTCTAAGGTATGCGTGTTTTGTCAAGACCGAGGCGAGGCCATGCGCCCTCCTACAGGTACATGAACGAGACCGATGTAACAGCAATTTCGATATAGATACAGAAATGACAATCTTAAAGTTACTGTATGACAAGCGTCACCTTACGTGGAACAAACGTGAACATATGAGAAACCATCTACATATGAACTGAATCTAGAGCCGGACACACCCCAGTCCGGGCCAGCTCAGGCCGTTCGTGGAATGGAAGAATGTACAGCGAAGCCCCTACTTGGTTTAAGCCTCAATTGGTCTTTACGATGATTCGACGGTCATCTTCGCGATCTGGTGTTACTCCCTGACGCTTTTGGCCGATGAAGACGATGTCAATTGGGTGTCCCCCTCACGGAGGTCTGTAAACTATGAGTTTTCTGTAGCAGGAAGTTTCCTTACTACAGAGCAATCCCAAAAGGAGCGTGGGGTACAGAGATTCACTCTCTTGCATGCACAATTGGGTTGGCACATATGCTGCATCATGTGCTAAAATCTGTGCCTATTGCGACAGGCTTGCTTCATGCTAGAGCAGGTAAGTTTGATGTAAGTACCTAGGTACTACATGTGCAATGTATTGGCGCTCGGTTCTGTCTCCGGACATTCCCCGATTATCGCCGCTTTGAGCTCCGGGAAGGCAGATACTGGGGTAATCGACCACCACCCCTCACCAGTTTTCACTTTATCACTTTTCTTTTCTCATTAACATTCTGGTTGGCAAAAATAGGTGGCTTCAGGTTACCATGTTCGAATTGTGGTACCTTTATCAACCATCCGCCCCGGCACCCCCGTTTAGTAACGGATCATTGCAAGCAACACGACATCCCCAGTTCCGGGAGGATGATGGCTTGAATCCAACAGACGGCAACACGAGATCCAGTACTCCTCCACGGCGAGATGCTTGGACAGTAAGGCGCTTAGATAGACAAACGTCAAAAACATCCTCCTTTCAATGTGGCCAAATGCTCACAGCGTGACAGTATGGAACTCTTTCGGCCCTACTTCGTGTGGACCTGATGTCCAAACGTCCAATCTTTTCTTTATGGCATTTTGGATGTTCGGGACCATCCGTGCTTCAAAAGATTCGTCGTTCAACTTCCAAATGCCAAAGAGCCTTGCAGCCTTGCATGATGCATCGCCAACACAAAGCCCGGACCAATAGGCAGAAGGTGGCGACTTTGTTCCAAAGTCCTGTCCATGATGGCTTCCCACATCCTCAATTTTCCCTCTGTCGATTCCTCTTGATATGTGCCCACCAAACGAGGCAACCATTTTGCCCTGCCCCGGAACGAGGCTCGCATCCCCCTCATCCTCCAACAGAAGCCACAGCGTGCGTCCTGCACTGAGCTGCTCAGGCTCGTCCAGTACTACAATACCTAATCATACGGCCCAACAGTTGGCCCAAAGGATTCGCTGTGCTTTCTTCTGGCTGGATTGTTGGACTTTGTCAACGGGACACAAGACCCATAGAAATCCACATGGGCTCGAGACATTGATCAGCCTCCGTCCTTGCCTAGTTCAACCAACTCCGAGACGTGCATGGCATCCCACCACATTTAGTATCACACCTTTTCTTCA